GGTTGCTGTGAGCTAGGCTGACGCCACGGCACTCTAGCCTGGGTGACAGAGTGAGACTGTCTCAAAAAACGAAAAAAAACCCATCCCAATAATTGATTGTATATTTTAAAATAACTAGAGGAGTGGATTTGGAATGTTCCCACCACAAATAAATGATAAATATTTGAAGTGATGGATATCCCAATTACCCTAATTTGATCATTACACATTTTATGCTTATGTCAAAATATCACATGTACCCCATAAATATGTATAATAATTATGTATCCATAAAAAATGTTAAACAAATAGGCTGGATCATGCCTGTAATCTCAGCACTTTGGGAGGCCGAGGTGAGAAGATCGCTGAGGCCAGGAGTTTAAGGCAGCCTGGGCAATCTAACAGGACCCCGCCTCTACAGTTAAAAAAAAAAAAAAAAGCAAAAGCAAAAAAAAAAACAACTAAAGACATGAATGCATGGATTCTCATTCTAGTCTTGTGCACAGTGTCTAGTCTTGTGCACAATTTTAAATAAAATTGATAGTGGAATAGAACCTACCAATTCCCATTGGCCACTCCCCAACCTCACCTTGAAACACACAAGGGGTCCTGAGACTCTTTTAGGGGGTCTACAAGATCAGTTTTTCTACTCACAGTAAACCATCACTTACCCTTTTTCACTCTCATTCTCTTAACTCGTAGGGTAGAATTTTCCAAAGACTACATGACACAATACTGCACAGGAAAGTATGAGAATCCAGCTATCTTCTATTAAAAAGCTAGACATTTAAGAGGTTTACAAAAATGCAAGATGCTACTAATTTTTTTGTTTTGAAAAATACAGTTGTCTGTCCAATGTATTATTTATGCTAACATATAATGAGTTTATTCTTGTTATTTTAAAACAAGTTGGGAAATACTTTTCACATTTCTCAATTTTAGTTTTTAATATGGTAAATATGGATAGATGTTAACCTATCCATATCCATTTGTTTATGTAACGTACATAAGCAAAAGTTCTTTTGGATCCTTGATAAGTAATGAGTGTAAAGGGATCCTAAGGACAAGAAGCTTGAGAAGCACTGCCCTAAAGTGTTCTTATTCTCTTATCTAGCTCAGCTTTCTTTGGGGTCATTACCATTGTCATCTTTGTCTAAGTAATGTCCTGTGCAACTTGTCTAGGGAGAGCGTGGAAGGTAAAACTTTGGGCTCGAAGTTAAGGGGCTACATTTTTAGCTCTACTTTTTGTCCTGGCAGCCTCAAAGTCAGAGTGGGAGACCCTCTGCCTCCCTCAGGGAGATCCTTACTCACCGTTGTCAGGTCCACGGAATACTTAGCGCTCAGCTCTTCCAAAGTTAATTTGTGATCATCCTGAGGGGACAGTAGAGTCACTGAGGGAGAGGTGGTGACCCCAGGTCATTTCCAGGGAGAGAGGGAGAAACATCCTGGAGGAGGGAGATGGCTTTGGCCTGGGTGGTTAATTCTCAAGGGAAGATGTTAAAAGACACTTAAGTTGAAGGTTGAGCAGTGTTTTCAGAGGGCAGTTTGTCAGTCCCTGTTTGGGGTGTTCTTACCATAGCCACTTCCTTCTTCAGTTCCTCAATGTCTGCCTTTTTTCTTTTCCTCCTCATCTTTTTTGTCTTTTTTTCCTTTTTAGGTGTTGTGCTTGGGTTCTGCCCTTGAGGAGCCCCTGTCTCTTTCCCCCCCCCAAGCCCCATAGTTATTCCTGGATATAGCTGACCCAGCTAAACTGGTAGGAAGAAAGCCAAGACAGTGAGGGAGGAGGGGGAGGAGTGGGAGGAAAGAGGGGCAGAGAAGGAAGCAGGGCGGTGGGCAGAGGGAAATGGCAGGTCAGGTGGTAGAGGTGCAAAAGGGGGAGGCAAGGAGGAGGAGGAAGAGTCTGGAGTGAGGAGTGAGAAGAGCCTGAAGCTGAAGAGCAAGGGCCTCAGGAAACGAGAGGGTATGGCATGCCTAAGTGATAAAGATGCCACAGGGTGCTCGGCAGGTGGCAAATGCAGTGGGAGCTGGAGGCAGAGTGAGCATCAGGGGCACTGGGAGCCCCCCCAGCCCCAGGCCCTGTGAACCATGGCAACCATGGCAACCGCCCAGGTCTGGCCTCACAAAGGCCTCAAGAAAGTTCTAACCAAGAATCCAGAAGTCTCAGTCTTTGGTGTTGAGGATGACTGGAGCAGGCACTGCTACAGAGAGAATTTCAGTCTGAGGACAAAACTAGAACAAGGCCCTTGTGTAGTCCTACGGACTTCTGACACTTAGAGGTACCCCAGATAGCTGGCAAAAAATAAAGCATGTACTCTGTGTGTGAGCATGCTTTTTAGTGAGGCACACTTCTCCACCAACAGTGCATTAGATCTTGTAATTTTAGGAGACCAGCCAGCAGAATAGATCAGATCTTGGGCTTTGGAATCAGTCCTGGGTTTGAGTCCTGGCCCCTCAGCTTGCCAGCTCTGTGGCTTTGGACAAGTTACCTAACCTCTCTGTGCCTCTCTTTTCTTATCTTTAAATGGGGTACTGTACACCTTGTATGGTGGCAAGAGTAAGAATTAAAGTGAGGTGCTCTACATAAAGCACAGTGTCTGACATATACAGTGTGCATGCAATAAATAGCTTGAATTCAGTATTAGTAGTTTTATTTGTGGTTTAATGTGCAGCTTTTCTCAGTGAGAGTAAAAATATGCATTTCCATGTGCTACCACTGTATTTCCTCATTTTAGAATGATGTATTTTCTCTTCCACTCACTTTCTCTGGCATCTCACTAGATGCTTGGACTGTATTAACTGTGTATGTTTTACGTGTAAATTATACTCTACCTTTTTCCAAGAAGGATCAGAAGCATCTATCTATTTCCATCAATCATATATGTATTTTTTCAATCATACATGTCACAGACATTTGCCTTTTCTATTGTTTGATATTTATTTAATTTCATTTTGGTTGGGCATGCTTCTTTAAAAATATGATTATCTCTAAAAACATACATCTTGGTACTGATGCAATCCTCCTTCAATATTCAGAAATAGAAATGTTCCCTTCCCAGCTGGGATAAATGATAGTCTATTTCTTTAATAGATTGGACTTTTCTTCTCTATTAAAAATGCATAAGGGGGAAAGTGAAGGTCCTTACTCTCCCTCCCTCCAGACTCAGTCCCCACTGCTGCAGTTACTGCTATCAACAATGTGCTGTGTGTCCTTCCAGTCTTTCTTCTGTTTATACAAAGAGATATCTAAAAGAAGATATTTAAAAATTTTTGTGCAATCATTCAACTCTCATTTATCAACCTGTCATGTACATAAAACTTATTTTTTTCAGTGGCTGCAAGGTATTCTATCTTCTGTCTTGAACGTGATCTATTATCATTCCCCACTACAATGGATTTATAAGGTATTTTCAACCATTAGAAACGTTGCTACAGTGTCATCCTTATATAGAGGTATCTTTAGGCCCTTAAGCTTCTATTTCTGTAGAATCAATTCCTATTGCTGAATCATAGGGTACACCCATTTAAAATCATAAAAGACTCTGCCAATTTCTCTTTGGAAGAGCTTTATCCATAGATCTATGTCCCCAAAATAAAATGCAAGAAGGACCACTCTACACACCTTTGATTACACTGAATGACTTTGATGCTTTACAGTTTTGCCATTATAATCGTGAACTTTGGTATCCAGTAGTTTTATTTTGCATTTCTTTATTGTCTATGTGAGTATTTTCTCTTATGTTTGTTTATTGGCTTTCTGGACTTTATATTTCTTTTTGTGAATTGTCATTCTTATCGTTTGCCCAATTTCCTTTGTTTTCTTTTTTATATTGATTTATAGGAACTTCTTGCCATACACATTACAAATATTTTCTCTTAGTCTTTGTGTTTAATGTAGGTCACAGAATTCTTAAGAATAAAGTTAGAATTAAGGTTAAAATGGCTAAGTTCATCTCTGCATCATCTATATGACAACACTTAGCCTAAGCTTGCACATGGGAGGTTCCCAAAAGCAAATTTATGGAAATAAAATCCATTGAAATTATTTTTGGAAACTCCATTCTGTTGCACGGATCTTAGCTCAAAAGTCCACCTCTTCGGAGAGATCTTCACGGATTGCCAAATTCAAAGTAGCCCCTCCGACCCCAGCCCTCTATCACTTGTGGTCTTCACAGCACTTTTCACCCTCTGAAACTATCCTATTTATCTGTTGACTTGTCTGGTTGACTTATTGCCTTGTTGACTTGTTGTCTGATTCTCCATGACCCTAGGGACCTTTCCTGGCTTATTCGTGGCTGTATACTTAACTCCTGAAATAGTGCTTGGCACAGAGCAGCTGGTCCACAAATAGTTCCTGAACTGATGTTGAATCAGGTTTGAGCTTATTGTTAAAAGGTTTTGATGATCGTCACTTTGGTCTGATAAGTTTTAAAATCTTTTGGGGTAAATATGCTAGCATCACAGTTATCTATTCATTTGCTTTATAATTACTTACAAAAAAATCCTGAGATTCTTGCCTGATTACTCTTGCAGCTGAATGTCACCACCAACATGTCATGTTTTATAAAAATATAGTGAAGATTTTAATTGATATTGGATTGACTCTTTTATAGTAACTTATTTTTATCTTTACTACCTTCTGTCTTCCCAAATGGCAGTTGTTTAGCTCTCCATGTATTCATATTTTTCTTTATTTCTCTCATTGTGCTTTTAAGTTTTCTTTAATAAATACTGTATGCTGCACATACTAAATCTTGAGTGTAATTTGTTTTGGTTCTATTGTAAATAGAAGCTCTTCGTGCTATGTTTTCTATCTCCCTAATATCTAGGGATACATTTGATTTTTAAAAACTGATACTTTGCAACTTGTAACTTTGAACTCATTGCTTCTTGGATTTTTTTTGTTATTGCTGCCGTTGCTTTGTTTTAGTTTTAGTTTTTTTTTTTTTGACAGGGTCTCACTCTGTCACCCTCGCTAGAGTGCAGTGGCGTCATCACAGCTCACAGCAACCCCAAACTCCTGGACTCAAGTGATCCTCCTGCCTCAGCCACCTGAGTAGCTGGTACTACAGGTGCATGCCACCAAACCTAGCTAATTGTTTCTATTTTTGGTAGAAACAGGGCCTCCCTCTTGCTCAGGCTGGTTTCGAACTCCTGACCTCGAGCAATCCGCCCGCCTTGGCCTCCCAGAGTGCTAGGATTACAGGCGTGAGCCACCTTGCTGGCTTGGAAGTTCTTTCTAGATAAGGTGAAATTTAAAATTTGCATTATACAAGGGATATCATTTAGCTTGAGAAAATAGGAAGGGTTTTTTGTTTGTTTGTTTGTTCGTTTGTTTATGGATTGATTCACAAACCTTTTTGAACTTGAGCACCTCTCTTGAGGCCTGGTACTGTGGTAAGGTGCTGAGGCTAACAGCATGAATAAGAATAGTCCCTGTCCTGCTTAAGGAGCACTAGTGGGGAGATGAATATATTCAGATAATTATAATGTGCAGGGCCAATGCAATGATGAGATGTAACACATAATGTTTATAACATATTGATACCCACACTTAGACTCTCCAACTTGGAATAAGATCTAGTGTTTGGCAGCATAATAGGGTGACTATAGTTAACAATAATTGGCCAGGCACAGTGGCTCAGGCCTGTAATCCTAGCACTCTGGGAGGCAGAGGCAGGAAGATAGCTTGAGCTCAGGAGTTTGAGACCAGCCTGAGCAAGAGTGACACCCCATTCTCTACCAAAAATAGTAAAAATTAGCCGGGCATGGTGGCACATGCTTGTATAGCCCCAGCTTCACGGGAGGCTGAGGCAGAAGGATTGCTTGAGCCCAGGAGTTTGGGGTTGCTGTGAGCTAGGCTGACGCCACGGCACTCTAGCCTGGGTGACAGAGTGAGACTGTCTCAAAAAACGAAAAAAAACCCATCCCAATAATTGATTGTATATTTTAAAATAACTAGAGGAGTGGATTTGGAATGTTCCCACCACAAATAAATGATAAATATTTGAAGTGATGGATATCCCAATTACCCTAATTTGATCATTACACATTTTATGCTTATGTCAAAATATCACATGTACCCCATAAATATGTATAATAATTATGTATCCATAAAAAATGTTAAACAAATAGGCTGGATCATGCCTGTAATCTCAGCACTTTGGGAGGCCGAGGTGAGAAGATCGCTGAGGCCAGGAGTTTAAGGCAGCCTGGGCAATCTAACAGGACCCCGCCTCTACAGTTAAAAAAAAAAAAAAAAGCAAAAGCAAAAAAAAAAACAACTAAAGACATGAATGCATGGATTCTCATTCTAGTCTTGTGCACAGTGTCTAGTCTTGTGCACAATTTTAAATAAAATTGATACCCCACACCACCACAAACCACCAACCGATCCCAACCACCTGGCAACCGCCCAGCCCGTCTGGCCTCCACAAGGCCTCAAGAAAGTCATATAACAAGAATCAGAAGTCCGCTTTTGGTGTTGAGGATACTTGCAAGGCACTGCTAAGACGGAATGGTAGTCTGACGCACACCGCCCCCCCAAGGCCTTGTGTAGTCTACGGACTTCTGACATTAGAGGTACCCAGATCACGCTGCGCAAAAAATACTGTACTCTGCGTCTCGGGCTCGCTTCTCTCTAGTGAGGCACCACTTCTCCACCACACAGTGCATCTACACACTCCTGTATATTTAGGCACCAAGACAGCAATACCCATTTGATCAGACTCTTGGCCTTTCGAATCAGTCTGGGTTCTGAGTCCTGGCCCCCCTCAGCTTTGCAGTCTGTGGTTTGGACAGAGTTACCTAACCTCTCTGTGCGACTCCCTCTTTCTTATCTTTAATGGGTCCTGTACACCCCTTGTATGCGTGGCAAGAGCTAAGATTAAAGTGAGGTGGCTCTACAATAGAAGCACAGTGTCGACATATACCTGTGCATGCAATAAAGCTCTGATCATATTCAGTCGTTTTATTTGTGCTCTATGTCAGCTTTCAGTGAGAGTAAAATATGCTTTCCCATGTGCTACCCTGTACTTTTCTTTAGAGCATGTATTTTCTTCCACTCACGTTCCTCCTGGATCTACTTAGATGCTTGGACTGTATTAACTGTGTTC